GTGCTGCACACAGAAACATAATACCTGCAATGCTTACTGACTTTTCCTTCTGCTTGGGCGGTTATCCGTTACTAAATATCCACAGTTCCAGAAAGAAGACAATTCGATGCGTCTTTGTACTTTTTTAGGTTTAAAATTTCTCAAGGATAACGCCGATTTCATTCGAAAATGCGAGTACCATCTGGCAGTGCTCTGTGTGCAGGACAGAGGAACAGTGGGTGACTAGTATATGAGAACCTATGGGAGCTGGAGCATGGACATCAGTCCTTAAATTGGTATGATAAAAAAAATAAGTGGGAAAATATGTACACAAAAATACAAAAAGACTGAGGAAATAATAACAATAAAATTAAAAGGTATGACTTGCGTGCCAATGGCTTTAATTAGGATTATTTGGTACTACTGAAGGGATAACTATATGAAGACTTTTAGCACCTCATATTGACTTTAAATTGATGTGTATTTCCTGGCTATGTTTGATTTTTCTTTTTTACATATAACTTGCAAAAATAACTAGAATAATAAGGTACAGTTCACTTCTGCAGAAAAATAATAGTAATAACTAAATATTTCAGATATAACTCTCGATACTATAATACATTATCTATTTACACTAATAACTTTTACACGTTTTTCTTTCCATGCCAACAAATTAAAGTTTTGTTTGAATTTACCAATCAATATATTTTCTCCAGGAAGAAAAGACGAAAAAATGCAGTATTAGGCTTCAGATAACCAAAGTAATAATCAAATATGGAAATTCTCCATTAAGTAATCATCTGCCCTCCGAAATATAATTTTCCTTTTTTTGGCCCATCAATTCAATTTTATACTTTTCCGGTATTTTTTTTGTCATCCAGTGAAACTAAATACTAATAGCACCATTCCAGGATTTTTCTTTTACCGATTTAGACTGCATTTCAGATATTTACAATTTGACTTTTCGCCCAATTTTTAAATACAAGAGAGAGCTCAAGCAATCCTGCAAAGCATGCTAAGGAGAAGCCTCCTCATTTGTACATTCACTGAAGCTCAGTTCACCGTAAGACGTAAGAAAATAAGATTTGTTCATAACACCTATGAAACCCATGTCTAACCAGTGTGTTCGTCAGTCGTAGCAGAAATCATACTCTGACTGTCGCAGGCTCCACCTCCCTTTCTTCTTGTTTATTCGACTAATAGCAGAGTAAAGACGATATTTTCTTATTTTCATCCCGCTCTCTCCGTTTCATTTAAAGTTCGTGTTCCATGAATCGACACACATTTATAGCCTTGACGAGCTATGATGAACTTCCAGATTGTTTCCACGACCCCGGAATTTAGTGATTAATAAATCGCATGAGGTGGATTCACTTCATATTAGTTGACATACAAGACCATATTTCCTTGAGAAACATTCTGACTGATTCACGTTCATATTCCCTCTTTCTCTCCGGCAAAACATTCTGCAGAAGTCGAAATACAATGCAAGTCTGAAAACAACTCCACATAACGTTGAGCTCTCAGGTACCCCATCAAAAAAGTGAATTCACTTCTTTACTAAACCTTTAAAAAAGTATAGGCCCATCCTCAGGTCTGCCTTCCCCTTCAGTAAAGCCTCCCCCACCACCTCTGGGACACGAGATCTGAACCTGCTCGAAGCAAAACCTCATGAACCTCAAGCCACGTTGAACACTCTCGGCAACTTTCTTCCATCGCTCCTGATCAACCCCTGAGAATGCACTGACATCTCTCCAAGTGAGTAAACCACCAAACTAAGTGTTAAAAGACTATCTTCGTGGCACACACTTCCTAGTCCTTTTCCAAAACGGTAGCTAGATTTACGACATACTGCAAATTAACATGGCTGCAAACATTTCCATAAAATTTTAAAATCTGCAGTGGATATGGCACTTTTACTATTTAAAACAATAGTACATTTAACTACCAGTACTAGAGTAACCTGCGTACTGAACTTAATTAACAGTCAACAGAAAGTTTAAAAATTAATTGTGTGTATATATATAACTCCATACGTTTATACTATGGATCATAAATATTAATAAAAATAAAATCCTTCAAATTCACTACTCAAACTTGCTATCCCTGCATTAAAAACAAACATTTTCTTTGATGTAATTCGCAAGTACATAAACACGTTTAGGGCTTTTGTTTTGTTCGATTACATTACATATAGCTACAATATATACTATATATATATGACTTGGATAAATAGCACCCCATAACTTCAGGTCAACTCTGTAGATACGACAGGCTGAGGTCGCTCACATTCAACACGTTCTCTTTACTGCTTATCTCCGCAGTAATACCTTTTGTGATCCATGGCTGAACATATGACACGTCCTTGTTGCTTCGTGCTAGTCTATGGACATACGCAAATACCATGTTTCATTCACAAAGCACTGTCGTTAGTTCCATTCACTTTTTTCTCACTACACACATTGCTGAACTGATGTAAAGGAATTGTCACTGTCTTCTACAGAGCAGCCCGAAGACTAGCAGAGGAATTCTAGAAAATAAAGTTACTTTCTTGTGGTCTCCACCTGGCCTATGCTTAGCAGTATTGAAATTTTATCCGGTACTACTGTTAAGCATTTTTTCACTAGTGCGATTGCAAAGCTTCCCTGCAACATCTAGTCCAATGTCCTCTCTCGGGACAGTGAGTAACCGGTTACAATAACTGCCAAGTCAGGGGCTTCAGCGAGGAGTGAGGACGTCTGAGGTGTGCGAAGAGTCGCAGCTGTTTGGAGGGGTGTCCAGTTGTGGTGTCGAGAAGTCTATGTAATCCTGCGGGGTAGAACATTGCATTGAGAAAGTGTTTACTCAGTGAAACCTTATCAAGAAATGATAATAGATGATATAATCAGATTGAAGATTCTATCCTCCGATGCAAAGACAACCTAATCGTTCTTAGAAAATAACGATAAAAACTGACCTCCGTCGACGATAACGTGAGGATCCGGTCTAAGTCTTCCACGAGCTCCTTGAAGGTTGGACGCTGCGTTGGCTGGTACCGCCAGCACTCACGCATGATCGTGTAACTGTAAGAGAAAAACAAGATGATAATTCTGAATCATAATTCTGATATCTAATATTACAGATTTCCTGGTTATGAATTAACTGTTTAAAAACTACGATGGAACCGAAATTATACAAGATTTCTGAAGAGTTATGTAACTTTGATAAAATATAAGATTGCATGATACTTACATTTCAAGCGAACAATTTGAGGGCTTCTCCATTCTGTGACCTTCTCGGAGCAACTGGAAAAGCTTCTCGACTGAGGGTACTGATGGGTATGGAGTTCCACCCAGGGTCATGATCTCCCACAAAAGAATTCCGAATGCCCACCTGATCAACAAAAAGGGACCTCCATTAATCAAAACGGCAGGATTGAAGAGCTATAAAGAGAGACTCTTGTCTACCAAGCAGTTTCTCAGAAAAGCGTAAAAATCTCATGTAAAACGTATATCCCATTAGCCTTTTTTAATATTTCAAGAAGGGGGAGAAGAAAAAAATACCGTCACTTACACATCTGACTGTGAAGTGTACACTCTGTGGAAGAGAGCCTCGGGTGCCATCCACTTGACTGGCAGGCGGCCTTCGCTCGTCTTGCGATAGTAGTCCTGGCTGTGAATATCTCTGGCAAGACCAAAATCAGCTATCTTCATGATCCCGTCCTTACTGACTAGAACATTTCGTGCGGCAAGATCACGGTGAATGCACTGGAAAGAGGAAATTCAAGTTATTGGAACCATCACATGAGGAATACGTGTATGGATATGCGTGAAGAAACATTGGCGCTAACACAACACCATAATGCAGAGGACAGAATATTGGGTAAAAGGTTCGCACATCTACTGAACATCACAGCCTAAAATACCTTTTTAGAGGCGAGGTACTCCATTCCGCGAGCCACTTGGTAAGAGAAGCTGACCAGGTCTCTCTCCGTGAGCGCGTTCGTCTCCTGCCCAATGGCCCTCTCGTAGCCTGAAGAAGGGCGCTTGTTACGCAGATAATCCCTCAAGTTTCCATGCGCCGCGTACTCCACGACCACGTACAGAGGGCCGTCTTGGGTGCAGCATCCCAGCAGGTTGATGATGTTGATGTGCGTGCCGATCATTTTCATCATCTCCATCTCCGAGACAAGGTCCATGAGCTCCGCGTCCGTGTGCCCCTCTGTTGCGAAAAGAAAGTGCTCCGTTAGTGTCTGGTCCGGACCTACTTCTGTCCATGGAAAGCAAGTGTACACAATCAAAAGCAAATTCCTTTCATTGATACGTTGGAATTTTATCCTCTGCCACGACTCACCCTTCAGCATCTTCACAGCGACGGTGGTGGTGAGGTCGGGCCGGTTGATGCCTTGCACCTCCGCCTTCACGACCTTCCCGAAGGCGCCCTCGCCGAGGGACTCGCCCATGATCAGCTTCGAGCGCGGCAATTCCCAGAGGATGTCCAAGGGCAACTCGTACTCGGATATCCTCGTGTTTTCTGAGCCGTTGTGCGAGTTGGACTGGCACCGCTCGATCTTGATGGTGGGCACGATCAGAGGCTCCTGCGAGGCGTCCGAATTCTGGCGCTCGACGATGACCTGCGCAGAACGACGTTTGAGACTCGAGTCGAACAACAGCGTGCGATAACAACAGACCCCGCAAGAAGGCCAGCATGTAAACAAACCCAGACCTTTAATCCATGTTCACGTAATACCAGAACCAAACCCCACGGGTCTCCAACGAATCAAACAACAATCCACTCATGTCTACCTTCTTGATCCACTGCTGGGTGATGACCTCCTTGGCCCTCTCCAGCTCCTTGGCTCGGCGCTTCTCCTTCTTCCACTTCTTGCAGAAGCAGTAGAGGATGAGCCCCACGCCGGCCAGGGCCACGACGAACACAGCGGCCAGAATGGGCACCACGTGCGACTGCGCATCTGCAAGGATGGGCTCCGCTGAAAAACAATACAAGGTGTTAAGAACCACCACCGCCACCACCGCAACAGAGCAATATGAACGACTTGGCTGCAACGCGACTGGCAAAGCACAGCAGGGAATGCACCTGTGACGTCATCCGATTTCAAGACGCTTCATTTGCGAGCGACTGGATTTTGCGCTGAGTCATCACTTTCATAAAACTCGCTGCTCTTGTTAATCTTATGGTTAGTATGGAGGGATTTGTAGGATCGGCGAAGGAACGACCGACAAGGAAGATTGTTACAGTGATATACTAACAGTAGAGAATAGTCAATTCTACAACAGAAAAATAATAAGAACTCGGTGAGATATAATACACGCACACACATATTTGTGTATGAATATATATATATATATATATATATATATATATATATATATATATATATATATATATATATATATGTATGTATATGTACTGTGTGTGTGTGTGTGTGTGTGTGTACATATATGTATATATGTATATATATATATATATATATATATATATATATATAATATATATATATATATATATATATATATATATATATATATATATATATATATATATATATATATATATATATAATATATATATATATATATGTATATATATATACATATATATATTATACACATATATATATATATATATATACATACATAGTATATATATATATATATATATATATATATATATATATATTATATATATACATACATACACACACACACACACATATATAAACTCCCCGCCCGCCCCACTGGCACCAACGACAACCCCGCTCACCATCGATCACGTTGAGGTAGGCCGTGGACGAGGAGTAGCCCAGGCTGTTGGCGGCGATGCAGGTGTACCATCCGGCGTCCTTTTCCGTGACGTTGGTGAGCACAACCACCTGCGGGTCTTCGGTGCTCGTTATGTTCCCTCCTCCCTGCGCCACAGATAATGGATTAGCTTTGTTGCCACACTGGCGGGAGATATTGGTAGGCATTGTGATTTACTGTCTGTGTGATTTAATAGAAGGCATTGCTGATTCTGTGTGATTTGATAGAAGGCATTGCTGATCTGTGTGATTTATAGAAGGCATTGCTGATTCTGTGTGATTTAATAAAGGAGACATTGAAGGCCTTCCTGACTCTTAAGTGATTTAATGACAGTTCTTAATTTGAGTTTGTTTAAGCCTGTTTTTTTTTTGGCAACTGTGCAAACATCATCTACATGCAACAACTTTAGACAACCTTAAAAACCGTAATAAATTCTATTCCGTGACCACAAAAAATATACTATTTTTAAATACTCAAAGATATGACAAATCGAAAATGTACTGAAATACAGCCTAAGGTAAACAAACATACGTACAGACAAATAAAATACCACACATCATGCAAGACATCAAATAAAACTCCAGAAACATATCTTGATAAAAAAATGTAAAGGTTTTCGGAACAAAACATGCATTGCCTTTGACTAGATTTAAGGTTCACAAGTAAGTATACACAATAAGCAATTAGAATAGTCATGCTCATTAGTTTGGTCATGCAAAAAAGACAGACATGCAGAGGTATTATTATACAAAGTTTCCCGTCTATAATTCTAACTGATTATAAATTGAGGAAGAGTATGCTGTTATATCCATCAAACATCGGCACAGTAATTAAGACACAGATACAAATTCATGAATCGATACTGAAATTAGCCTTGGCTAAAATTAATAAGCAGATACGTAACACTTCGACACATTCAACACGCCGTAAATTCTTTTGTTCAAATCCAAGGCAAAATTAGCTCTATAATGAAAATGAAAATAGCATTTTTTTTTTTTTTTGCTAAACTGAGAATGGAGGGAAAACGCATGCACCCCTCGCGCGAGCATTATTAATTCCAATCTACACGTGTTAGGGTCATGTTTGTAGGCTTCACACGTTGCCTTGGGAATGCAATCTGACCTGGCCCTCTGAGGCAGCCTTGAGAATGGTCTCGTTTATATAGATTTCGCGGGAACCGAAGTCCACGTCCGGATCTAACTGCGGCAAGCCCGTGCGCCACACAATGTAAGCACTGGGCGTGTTTTTCGTGTAAATGCCCACCTCCAGCCTCACAGTGCTGCCGCTAATGACGGTCATGTTTTTCAGTTTCTTGGTGAAGATTGGCCGAGAACCGACGTGTTCTAAGAGGCAGGGACAAGAAATTGAGGAAAGATTAATAACAAGATCCTTAGACCCAAAAAGGAGAAGAGGAGGAAAGGGAGGACCGTCACCTCAAGCAGAAACCGTGTCTTAAAATACTCTGGAAAGGAAAGGCGATTTAAGAGCACCCACATACCACAGTAGCTACTGGACCCGAAAGGAGCGTAGCTGAACCACTAATGCCCTCTATACATGAACCAAAAGCAAATAATTACAAGCCATAAATCATAACCGAACTACGTGTCTCTACTGTCCCGTGCATTCCACACACACAGAACGGTGCACCATACAGCCTGCGCAAAAGTACACTGAAAGGAGGATGCCCCTTAGGAGGCGAAGTTCCCCTACGGGTTTTGAC